GGTGTCCATCAACTTCCTGAACAGACAAAAATGTGGACTTGTAGGGCATTTGGAGTTACTTCCACCAGGTCCAACTGTTAATTAGCTAATCAGCTTTCTATTTAGAGCTTCCTTCCACCAGGTCCGACTGTTAATCAGTTAATCAGCTTTCTATTTAGAGCTTCTGTAAAGATTGTGTAACAGTGTACGACAAAATAGTCCTGATTTGTGAGAAATGGGGACCTGGTGTTGCCACCATGACAATGTAGCTGTTCATGCCGCCATGCTCCGTGTGCCAGTTTTTGGCAAAAAACGGAGGCAGTGTCAACCACCCAAACAGGTGAGTTTGAAAAAAGTTTCCAAGAATGGAATCGCAGATTTGATAAATACTAAGTGTCATGGAGAGAGAGTACTCTGAAGGTGATAAGGTTGTTTTGTAAAAACAATTTAAATACATAACTGAAAAAAAATTACATTTTTATTGGTACATCCTCTATAATGAAAATATGTGTTTATAGGACACCTTACATTTCCGATATATGTTTAAACCCAATATCAAACCTTTGTTTATGGATTTTTTTTTTTAATGTGAATCACTGAAGTTAGTAAGCTATTTTCTTTATTTTTCTGATTAGGAATTGGGCCCTGAATATGAAGATGTATTTGACACCTCATTGCAGTGGATTTTAGAAAATGGAAAAGATGTTGGTATAAGGTAGATGATTGTTATTTTAACCATTTAGTATTTATAAGAAGTGAATTCGATTTTAAACTCTTCCTTGATTATTTTAACATAGGTGTGTCGGGGGTGAGTCTGACGAAGAACTGACAAATATAACTGATGTGCAATTTTTGCAGTCCACAAGGCCCCAGATGTCTTTCTGGTGTCGCTTCCGCCGGGCTTTTGTTACTGTCACACACAGATTACTGTTGTTATGCTTAGGTAAGTTATCAGGAATAAAAACTGATTTAAGTATTCATGCGAAGGAAAATACATGGCCTTAAACAATTTGTGTATGTGTGTGTTTTACTACTGTCAGAATTAATAATCCAGTTTTTGTCTTTGTTGTCTTGCGAATCATATCCAGAAGTCATCATGAAGACAATGTGGGCATTTTCATAATGACATTTTCAGTGTCCTTCCTAATATCATAACCCTTTCATATAGTTCCTCATGTTGTCGTGACCCCCCCCAACCATAACATTTTTTTGGTTGCTACTTCACAACTCTAATTTTGCTACTGTTATGAACTGGGCGACTCCCGTAAAAGGGTCATTCAAACCGCAAAGGGGTCACAACCCACAGGTTGAGAACCGCTGGTAGTTCCATCAGGGGTGTGGGAATAAAATTTTATTTATTTTAAACTTTTGATTGCGAATTAGGTGAAGGTTTACAGAGAAGCTCACCAGATTTACGTTCATTAATTCATACACATTTTGTTTCAACTCAACCATTGCAATTCCCTCGATGTACACTCATCCCACTTTGCTGTTTCTCTTGCTTTTATTTCTCCTTTCCTAACCCATTGAACTCTGTTGTGGGGTAAGCACTACCTTTTGATTTTCAGTGGCTGATTATTCTGACGTGAGGGTGAGTTCAGTTCTAGACCTGAAGAGTGATTAAAGGCCACAGCCTTGAGGGTTACACCAGGCTCTGTCTGACCAGTAAGCACGATCTCTTAATATGATTTTAAGTTCGGTTCCACATCTTCCTCCTCGATCCAGGACTTGTGTGTGATCCTACTCATAATGATAATCAGGCGCCTTCACTTCTGATATCAAGGCTATAGAAAATGATGCTTATCTGGTCCATTCGTCTCATTTCCGTATGTCTTTCGGTGTTCATCATTCTCCTTTCCTCTGAAGAGACCAATAGTTAGTTGCACCTTCAATCCTCATGAGCTTTTGCAGTCCAGTTGCTTCTCATCAAAGTAGGATGGTTACAGCATTGTCTTTGTAATCGATGTTGTGCCAGTTGACCTTCGTACCCCCAACACTGTGATCCTGAACCTTCCGGTGTAGTGCTTCATCCACTCGAGGTATTTGATTATGTCTAAGCAGCTTTCATACTCCCTGTGCTTTATCACATTCATGAATGTATTTAAATGCAGCAAAGGTAAATTCATGGGTATACTACTTCTCCATCCCGCACTTGCTCAGCCTTGATGCCTTATCCAAGTATCTACTCATAGATTAGCTCTGTTGCAGGAGTGTATATATAACTGTGTTTGCCTCTGGGGCCTTTAACTCTCACAGCCTTCTATCTTCCCCTGCCCCATCATTCTTAGCCACGCCTATTGTATATTGCCTTCCTCGTCACTCATGTCAACACAGGTCTACCCTCTAGTGAGTGATTCCCTCACTTCTTTTTTCTCCTACCCCTGGGAACTGTCAAAGAGGGTTTCTCTCAGTGTGAAACTTTTACTTGGCTTTTTTATAGTAGAGGCTTCACATACTTGTCCTGTTGTGGTCGACTGATCTTTCAACATGATGTTCTCCAAGTTTATCCTGGTGCTCTGAGGTGATTCGTGGTTATTCTTTAACCTTGCATAGTATTCCATTGTGTATATGCACCAGTTTGTTTATCCATTTTCTTTTGCTATTGTGAATAGTGCTACAGTGTGCATATATTTATTTATATCACAGCTCTGTTAAGTTTTATACTGAGTGGAGGGATTGCTGGGTCATATGGTATTTCTATTCTTAATTATTTGAGGAAGCACCACCACTTTTCACAGTGATCGCACCATTTTACTGTCCTACTGTCTGTGTAAGGCCTCGTTCCAGTGTCTGAGCCCCACCAGCCATTGTAATTTTCTTTCTTTTTTTTTTTAGCAATTGTTATTTTCTGTGATTTTTTTTTTTTTACTTTACTATTAATGCTGGGTGAGATCTCACTGTTGCAAGTGTAGCACATACAAAAACCTACTTCAGAAACTAAAACTGGAAAACACAAAACCTATTTCTTCTTTAATAAAATATCAGTTTATTAGAATTTAAAATTTTTCAAATATGGTTTACCTGAATTATAATTCTCATCCTAATTTCATGTGATTATTTTGATTAGTGTTAGGAATCTAGGACCTCTTCATCCCTTTTACTTCCTTTTCCAGCCCCCAAATCCTTTTCATAAAATTCTGTTTTCTACAGTAAGATTCATTGTTTTAATTCCATGGAGACTCACTTTTCCAGTAGTTTAATGCTGTGAAGGGAAAAGCTTGTAAAACATTGTAATGGTATTGTATTTTTTCCCCCTCAAAATATAATATTTGGAATATAAATGTTCAGTTGTTGATGTAATCAAAGAGATACTTTTAGGGAGATTAAGTGAAATAGGAAAATATGTAACATTAAACTTTCCTAAGTAATTTTAATTATATATAATTCAAACTATTCTGAAGATTGATTCATTATTTGGTTATGACAGTTGAAATAATCATTCATTATAGGAAATGTCTTACTTTTTACTGTTTGCATTTTTGTGCTGTTTCACTTTGCATTATTTTTTTCAGTCCCAATTTTTCCCACATATTTTTAAATGTTATTGACCAAAATTTTCATAACAGAATAAATAAATAATTTCAGGTGTGGTGATTGTGTGTGTGGTTCTGCGCTACATGAAATATCGCTGGACAAAAGAGGAGGAGGAAACGAGGCAGATGTATGATATGGTGGTAAAGATTATAGGTATGGTATTGTTTAAATACTAAACAATTGCTGAACAATCACTTGATGGTGAGTGATTGCTTCATTTGTTTGATTTATTTTCAGATGTTTTACGAAGTCATAATGAAGCTTGCCAGGAAAATAAAGATTTACAACCCTACATGCCTATTCCACATGTGCGAGATTCCTTAATACAGCCTCATGACAGGTGTGTTAAATGATACGCGAATTGTATGCAGAGTTGTTATCTTTCTTAGCTTGTACTGTGCACTTCTTTTTAAACTTCCATTTTTTACCCTCCTGCTTTTGAGTAAACTGACAGACAGCTAAATTTCCAAATTACTCTTATTCATATGTATACTGGAGTCTTTGTTACCATTCTCTACCTTATTTTCACTTTATTGCTAAAGAAACAGGTGCAGACATTACAGCCAGTTAAAACAAACAGAAACTAAGGATTAAGTTATGACCCCACATCTTAAAGCAGCATTCTTTTGTAAAATCATTTTATTGGGGGCTCATCACAATCCATACACACATCAATTGTGTGAAGCACATTTGTGCATTCGTTGCCCTCATCATTCTCAAGACACATTTGCTCTCCACGTAAGCGCCTGACATCAGCTTCTCATTCTTTCCCCTCCCTCCCCGCTCCCCCCTCTGTCATGAACCCTTAATGATTTATGAATTACTGTTTTGTCATGTCTTGCCCTGTCTGATGTCTCCCTTCACCCACTTTTCTGCTCTCCGTCCCCCCATGTAATCCGTTCCTCCAAAGCACCATTCTTTTCTCTTTTTTTAACATTCCAATCACATTATAGCACTGACAAGTCCAAAATCTTGATCTTTCAGCAAAGCAATGGTTTGTAGTAATAGTCCAGTCACTACTGTATAAAATGTTCAACTTTGATAGCGTCCCAGAGTTTCTCTTAGACAGCATCAGCAATGGAAGAAATATCTCAGCAGTCAGCAATCGCCATTCTCAGGAATCCTCAAGGTCGTCTTGATGTTTTGAATAACTTCAGTAACAGTATAAGGGGGGTCACACATCAGCTTCCCTGCTTTCTTCTGGGCCTTGCTGGCTGAAGAGAAATCCATCTATCTCCTTTGCCTCAGCCCTGCTTGGTGGTCTACTTGGGAGAGAGGGGGAAGGGAAGGAGGACAAGGGGAAAGGAAGGAGAATGGAGCCAAGGAGAGGTCAAGGGAGGAGCTGAGAGGGAGGGAGCCAAAGCAGCATTCTTAACACTAGCCGCTCAGCTTATCAGAATTAAGAGTGGAGTTTTTGGAGGAAGAGGATACAGGTGCTCATAGTTCAGCTTTGTAGACGCAATTCTATGCATCCAAAGTTAGACTTAGGCCTTTTAAGTCTTATTTTGAACCTCTCCTTAAGTAGTGATACTAACAGCCAGAATTAACAACAACCATCCGTTAACTAATGTTTGCAAAAGAAGACAACCAAGCTCATGGTGTGTTGTCATTTTGTTTGTGTGATAGGAGAAAAATGAAGAAGGTCTGGGACAGAGCTGTTGACTTCCTTGCTGCTAACGAGTCCAGAGTTCGAACAGAAACACGGAGAATAGGTGGTGCGGATTTTCTGGTTTGGAGGTGGATCCAGCCTTCTGCATCCTGTGACAAAATACTCGTAATACCATCTAAAGTATGGCAAGGTCAAGGTACGTGCTTTTAAAAGAACATACACAAAGTACATCTTTTTCTGATTTTAAAAGTTATAAAAATCATAGTTGCGTGTGATCTTCTCCCCCCCACCCCATCAAAGCAAAGCTCCTTTTCAAATCCCATTCCATAGATGGGAATCATTGTTAGCTTTTTATGTGTCCATCTACACTTATTAATAATCTTAACAAGATATTTCTCTATAACATTGTAACATAATAAAATACTGTACACCTTATTTCTGCCTTGCTTTTTTTCACGTAACAAACCAATGCAGTATTACAGATATAGCTACTCTTTTTTCTCTAATTGCTTTGTACAATTACAGAAATATAAGATTTATATAAATGGATTCTTTGAAAATACTCTTCTCCCATTATTTTTGCTTACTATATTCCTTTTTCTCACAAATATCCTTTCTACCCCTCTTATCTCCCTTGCCAAGTAGATTTTGTTGGTTTTCCCCATATTTTTAATGCATATATAGGTATCTAACATTTTGATAGGTTTTTTTAAATAAATGGTTTTGATGAATGCTTACCCTAGAAAAAAAATAAGATCATATTATACATACTTCTCCAAGGGGATTGCATAACATTCTTGGAAACATAGAATGAAAAGACAATGAAATTTCCCCAAATAGTTTTGAATCCCTTCATGGATCTTCATTTAAAAATAATATCCTCGAATGTGGAGAGTTTGAAAAAGCCTTTGGAAATGTCTGCAAATCAACATGATTATTTTTAATGATCTTATAATATTCCATAGTATGAAATAAATCTTACTTGAATCAAACATTCATTGGTTAGTAAGCAATCAAGTATTTATATTTTTCATATAAAAACTAACCGCATATAAAAATTAATACCTCTTTATATTTTATTTTCTGTAGCGTTGTTGTTTCCCAGAAGGATGTCTGAGTTGAGGGAGCAGAGTAGTAGATGATGCTTGATTGCTTTCCTACATTCTAGAAAAATGTCTGTTTTCACCAATTAAGTCATCATGTAACCAAACTCTGCTGGTGATAGCTAATGCCTCACTTTGAACTTTTACATTTTAATGCTTGGTTGCAATGTGAAACTTGGTTAATTTGGGGTATTTAGGGATTGGCGTAACATGAACCTCATTTATCTGTTTGTTGGATTCTATACCTTACAAAACAGAAAACATAAATTCCAAACCAGCCAGATCTGATTACCTTAGTGCCTGCTTGTAAGTAGGAGTCAACCTAATTTCATCACAGAATCAGCAATTGGTGCTCTTATTTGTTTGAAGCTCTCAGTCTTATTTTTGTAACAGTAGTTTTTCTCACATTAATTTAGGGTCAGTCTGCCTTCTTGAAAGTTAGTGCTTTCACGTTTTACATGCTCTAATTTGTTTTAAGTCTATTCATTTGGATTCTCTACTTCAAAATAATTTTTATCAGTTTTAAAAGATCAAGGTAAAGACTGCAAATATGATAAAATAGAACTTCATGTCAGTGCTAGTCTGGACATTTTTGCATAACATTTCTTAAATGTCCTGAAGTTCTGGTTTAAAATGTCCCTTCTGGTTAAGTGCCCTGGTTTTTTAGAGTCAGACAACCTGGACTTTCTGGTCTTGCGTCTGAAAACTAATCCAGGGTGCCAGGAAACGTTTAACAGCTTTGAGCTTTGGTTTTTTTGCTTGTTAAAAAACGATAAAGTTACCTACTCATTGTTTGTGTGGGTGTTAAAAAATGCATGCGAAGTATATATTATATAGCAAGCTCTCTATTAAGTACTCAAAATTTAACATAATTGCAATTAATAAATATTAGCACTCTTGCTACTTTTACAGTAGTTTGTTGTTTCTTTTCATCAAGGTTGCAGGATATTCATTAAACAAATATCCATAAACTCTATGCTAGTTACTATTTAAAGGAGACCTGGTGGCACAGTGGTTAAGGCACCTAGCTACTAACGGAAAGATTGGTGGTTTGAATTTACTAATTGCTCTGTGAGAGAAAGATGTAGCATTCTGTTTCTAAAGATTTATAGCCTTGTCATCCCTGTAAGGCAGTTCTGTTCAGTCCTATTGAGTTACAATGAGTTAGAATTAGTACAACAGTTATGGAGATTTTATGCAAGCTTTCTTATTTTGACTATTTCTACATAAGCCACATAATGAAGTATATGTTTAGTCTCCCTCTACTTGTCCTTGATTAACCACCTTCAGTTATTAGGGCTCCTGAATTTCATTTCTTTGAAGACATGCTATGAGGCACTCCAAGAATAGACTGCATTTCAAGATTTCTGTACATTTCTCTCTTTGGACTTACTACAATTATAATTACTTAGTTGGGTGGATACCATTTATCATCTGTCTCCCTCACTAAACTGCAAACTCTCATCACCTGTATCACCTTTTTCATCTTAACGCCTAATATGAGTCTACCTCACAGGAAGCATGTTTGAATATTTTTTAATTGAGTTAGTGGATGAATACCTTTCAATAAAATGGAATAATGGCAAATAATAAAAACTATTTTTTTGTAGCATTTCATTTAGATAGAAGAAATTCACCACCAAATAGTTTGACACCATGTCTAAAGATTCGAAATATGTTTGATCCAGTTATGTAAGTATGGTTAAGAGTACATGTAATTTTTATTTGGAATATTTGGTTGAGAAATGTCTGATGCTCTTTTAATGCTGTGTCTGCAATTGAAAATCTGCTTTCCTTCTGAATCTCTTAACCACAGAAACTTTTAGTGTTTTCCTCTTGTTTTGATAAATTCTAAGCAAAAATTTGGCTGTAAGAAGCAGATGTATAATGATCTGTGAAACTTTTATAAAAGTCTTGGTATTTCCTATGACCAACTATAGCAGATAAATTAGCAAGTATTATTTCAGAAATTTCTTGTCTCTATAATTACACATGCCACTCATAGAATAACACAATTAAATGTTAGTACTTTAACAGTCATTAGATTTAACATATAAGCTGTAATAATTTGTAGAATGAGCTTTTTAGGGGCTACTGCTTATCTATCCAATGATTTGAAAGATGAAATTCTTTAAACACATTAATCCTGAAATTGTATTATTTAAACTATCCATAAAACTCATAACTGTATACTACCCCATAACTGTTGTTTTATCACTATCCATTAGTCTTGTCTACTTGTAAAAGAGACACGAAGAAATCATTGATATAATGAAATTCCAAACAGTTGACAGCAAAATTGGATATATGAAAAGGCACTGGCACACGTACATGGGTGCATTCTCAGACAGACCTCCACACATACGCGTCCAATTTTCAGAGAAAGAAGCAATTAGTATTGTAGTGATCCTTCTACTGTCACTCTTCTTTCATGTCTTTAGGGATGAGGAGCCCAATGCCAGTCCAATATAGTGCTCTTACTGAGTAAATATTTAGATTTAAAATAAAGTTATCTCAGGAGGGAGATAAGCAAAAAATTATGGAAACCAGGCAAGCCATTGAGGGATTTTATAAGTTGTTGACTATAAAAATGATGATCGTCTCTGTAATCCTTCACCTAACTCACAATAATAATTTTTTTAAAGGTAAAATAAAGGTGTCATTTCCGTTGCCTATCATTTATGCCTCACAAGCACACCAGGTGTGCAATACTGTGCATTACGGTATACTGTATAATGGCCACAGCTGTCAATACTAAGGTGATTATTAGTGCAAATGATTCTCTTTTCATTATTTTGGAAAAGAGAAGCTCAGAATATGCTATTTCAGATTTTAGGAATTTGAAATAACAGTATTATTTTAGGAATAATATTGTTTAGGAATTTGAAAATAATAACAATAAAGAAACACTAAACTTTCACAAGTTTATTACACATCATTTAGTTGAAGATACATAGGATTCTGAACATTAAACATCTGCTCTGCTGTGGTGGGCTAACTTCATTGCCTCAGCATGTATGACTTTGGAAGACTTGAAACGAGTCAACAAACATTTGTTTTTAATGCTTAGGTTTTAAACTGTCTCAATTCTAATAGGGTGTGTGTGTGTGTGTGTGTGTGCAGTTTGGTTTTTTGGTGGGGATATGGTTGATGATTTTGTTTTCGTTGATTTCTAGGGAAATAGGTGACCATTGGCATTTGGCAATTCAAGAAGCAATTTTAGAAAAATGCAGCGATAATGATGGTATTGTTCATATTGCAGTAGACAAAAGTTCTCGTGAGGTAAAGTAACTTTTAGTATTAAATTCTAGTTTTTCTGTTTGTTACTATTAAATTTAAGATGGTTTCTTTCCTTTTTTGTCACAGGGTTGTGTATATGTTAAATGTCTATCTCCAGAATATGCTGGAAAGGCTTTTAAGGCATTGCATGGCTCTTGGTTTGATGGTAAGAAATGTGAAATTTACAAACATTATTTAGAGATTAATTATGACCCTGGGTTAAACTATATCATATTTTTAAAACTCAGATTAGTGTGTTTAGAGTGATTTGTGTTCATCTGTATTTTATCACAGTTGATTGTCCACAAACATTAAGCATGTTTACAGATCTAAAATATTGTTTTTATCTTACAACAGGGAAATTGGTCACGGTGAAGTATTTACGCCTCGACAGATACCATCACCGCTTTCCCCAGGCTCTCACTTGCAATACTCCCTTGAAGCCATCGAATAAACACATGAACTCTATGTCTCATCTGCGTCTTCGGACTGGCCTGGTCAATTCTCAAGGAGGCTCCTGAAAAGACGTTCCACTACCCCTAAGACTGTTATTCACAATTGGAGAATTCCTTTTTGGCTTCCTGTCTTCCTTTTAAAATGCTTTTTGTATGTAATATTTTTATTGATGAATACAGCTCTGTTTGAACGTTACAGAAATCTTAAAGTTCCAAAGGGACTTGGCAGTGAAGCAGTAATGCTGAGTAGATAGAATAACCAACCGTTTCATTCAGTTTGGGGAGCTCAGTTAAGCCAATGTATTTAAAGTTTTGCATGAGGAACATTGACTTTAATAAACTTTTTCAGATGTGGTGATTGTATTTTTGCACCGAGAAGTGTTTGGATGACCACACGAACGCATGGTGAAGAGGCTTCTTGAATTTCCATAATTTCCTGTGAACTAATGTTGTGAGTTTTTGTATATAGTCAACTGCATATTTTCTTACAGGACTTATGTGGTAAAGCAATTAATTTGCAATTCAACTTTAGGATTTTACTGCTTGTAAGAGATTCTTTTGCTGCAGCTGGAATATGGAGAAATTTTTGAGTTTTGTGGGTGCATATAAATGTGGTGTACATGTACTTAAAACTGGTTTTTGTGTATATATATATGTATGTATAAATGCTGGTGGTGGTGAAAGTTTTGTGAGGATGTCTGCATTAAAGCAGTAAAATAAGCTTCCTATTTTATTCATAATCTAATATGTATATATATGTATGTTTGATATATGTGTGTATGTGTAAATATATGTGCGTGTATATATAAATATATGTGCACATACACATATGTATATGGCTGTACTATAACATAGGTCAAACAGCCAAAACCTGGAAGTATTAGATACAAGTTTAAAATATCTTTTATAGGTTTTATATAAAGATGTCTGAGTATGATTTTGTGTGGAAGTTCTGAAACCAGTTGTAATGGATACAAATTTATGTGAGCAATAAAGAAGCAATTGGCAGATATTGGAAAAAGTATTTTGTGAAAAGCTGTATTTATTATAAATACTAGGGCTGTGACATAGTACCATTGGGATTGTCATTTCCCAATCTATTTATAATTTAATGAAATGTTAGCTCCCCCCTCCCCTATACCCCTGTTCGATGTCAAGTTCAAAAACAGTGCACATTGTTGCAGCAAAATGTGTATTTGATTAATTATATTTACAATTTTAGGTTGTGAAAGTTTGTAAAATAGCAAATGCACGAGTGACTGTTGTCTTTGTGCCTCAGTATTTCATGAGTTTTGGTAAAGTTGCTTTATTGTCTATGATTTCAGATTAAAATAGTTACTGAGCAAGGTTTACTTGTAATCTAACATGGTTTTTTTATTTTCTATACCTGTTTATATAACATATCATTGTCAGTCCAAATGAGTATGTGAAACAGCTGGAATTGTACCAATTCTGATTTTTTTAAAGCTCAGTTTCGTTTGTGTTTCGCTTCATTTTGTGTGTGTGTGTGTGTGTGTGTGTGTGTGTGTGTGTGTGTGGTTTTCAGCATGAACTTGCACAGATAATGCACGCTGTTTGGTTGAGTGAACATGACGCACACTGTTATGTACCAGGAAACCCTATTGTGCCTTACCTATGTGCTTTTGTGGGCACCATGTTTATGAAGAATAAAAAATGATTTGTTATCTGAAGAGAATAAATTTTACATTCTCAGTTTATGTCTCAGATGCTGAAGTGTGAAAACATATATATATATAAAATATAAAGTAACCAATCTTTGTATTTTATGAGCATCGTAGTGGTTTATCTGGGGCTAGTAACACTATCTTGTAACCTTTAGCAAGAGTGAATGTAAAAAATAGCTGTGGCATTTTAAAAGGTCACCCTTTGATGCAGATGCATCTTTTTCTTGCTTCTAAAATATATTTCATGTAAACATTGTATACTTACTGTAATATATCGTTATTGAGCAGCTTATTTTACCCGAAACTGTTAAGCTGACCAAGATCCGTCCCTGCGAGACAGATGGGAATATGTATAATATTTGAGCAGTTCTGAAGTTTGATGTAATCTGTTACTTGTCCTGTTTAAAAAAAGAAAAGAAAAAATTATAATTAAAATATTACTAGGTTTTGTTTTTTTTTCAATGTGTCTTGGCTTTTTAAAAAGTGCCCTGTGTCTTTATTTTTTTTTAACTGGTGAAAAGAAGTGCCTTTATTTTACATATCTACTGAATGGAAGGATCTGTGAGTAAATGTGTGCTTCTAAGGATGGACGGAGACCCTGAAGCTAATTTCATAATTTGAACCATCCATTCCTGATCTA